CGCGCTTTAAAGCCGGTTTATTTGTAACCTGGCTTGCCATGAAATTGATACCTATTTCCGTAACTTTGATTCTTTAGTTTGAACAAAAGAGTTCGATACGTTGGATTTATATTTGATATATTAAAATGCCAACACAGGATCTCGTGGTGATTCGGCTATGTATACATTGCGTGAATATATATGCGCCTCATTACCATGAAATTCTCTGACGGGAATATTAATTATATCCAATATATTCGACATATCGCTCAATATGTTGTGACTACATAAAGTGGTGTCATATCGCTCGTACGGACATCCATCATGGGTGTTGTCAGGATTCCCACGGGTGACGCTTGTATTGAAACAATATCAAGCGTATCTTCACATTCAAGTTGCTATCAACTTGAATAAGCGTGGTTGCTGAATATCCGTGTCGCTTTTAGCAAGTATGTGGTATATGGACAGTGTAATAATATAATTCGTAAAACATGATCACCTGCGACAAACCAGCCTGTAAAGCATTTAACCACGATGTGGAGGTGCTAAAATCACTTTTGTATTTTTATTCAATGCATTTTTATTTAATGTATTTCCGGGAAACTTATGCGGGTGTATTGAATCACTGTCCTACCATAAAAGGTGTTTTGAGTCATAAGTGGCGAGACCTCAGTGGGTCGGGACCGCTTTAATTAATAGTCTTGTGGATATTCAGTCTACAGGGACGTCTGACTTTGGATTTTTCGTTTTTGGGTCGTAAAAAAACATATGATATATCGGACATGCATATTATATATACATGTATGTATATTGTGATTATCAATATCACGCATAACCACCCAAATTAATATTCAAATCCCGGACGTTTGTAGTTATCTGTTATCGTGATAAGTAATTTGGGAATACATTTGATGGTAACACTTCAGTTGGTTGAGAATACACTGGGTGCTATCACGTCGTTCGTTAAAGAATGAATTAGGTGATGGCACATTAAGTGGCCAGGTCTCAGTGCTTCGGGACTACATTACAGTGGGTTGAGACTATATGAAATTATGTGGTCAGGTCTCAGTGCGTTGGGACTACATTAGGTGACAACGCGACAATGCGTTGGGACTACATTAGGTGACAACGCGTCAATGCGTTGGGACTACATTAGGTGACAACGCGTCAGTGCGTTGGGACTACTAGTACATTAAGTGGTCAGGTCTCAGTGCGTTGGGACTACATTAGGTGACAACGCGACAATGCGTTGGGACTACATTAGGTGACAACGCGTCAATGCGTTGGGACTACATTAGGTGACAACGCGTCAATGCGTTGGGACTACATTAGGTGACAACGCGTCAATGCGTTGGGACTACATTATGTGGCCAGGTCTCAGTGCGTTGGGACTACATTAGGTGGTCAGGTCTCAGTGCGTCGGGACTACATTAGGTGGTCAGGTCTCTGTGGGTTAGGACTACATTATGTGATCAGGTCTCAGTTTCTTTGAACTGCATTAGGCACATTAGATTATACAGACGTTTTGGGCTACATTAGACTATGACACATCAGTGGGCGTTTGACTGCATTGGGTGGCCTTAGTATCTACAATTGGTGGTTATACAGCAGTGTTTTGGGATTTCACAAAGTGACTCATTTTCAGTACAGTAACTCCATCACCGCAATCGCGATGATCAATGCTTTTAATGAAATAATAGAATCGTTGATTTTGGGTGAAACAGACACCGTTCACCCTTTATTCAAAAGCACATAACACAAGCATAATGAACTGCATTGTTTCAAAGCGTATACCCAATATGTTATGCTACATTTATTACAATGCGAATAGGTGATTTTCCGTACAATTGCGAGATCTCGCGAGATGCATGAAAGACGCGCGTCGAACGTCTGCCGCAAAAATCGAACGATTTGATTTTGAACTCGAATTTCCTTATTTCGTAGCTCACACCGACCGGCCGATCTTCGACAGAGGAATATTGCTTCCGAATACCCTTACTTAATCGAAATTGCCTATCATCAAATGTGGACAGCACATTATTAAGCATGGAAATGTCCCCAAAATACTTTCGCGTTTGTCGAATCCCACGCGATGTTTGACGCGACTACGACGCTATGACCTTTGTTTGTCCTGTTTTTACATTCGATTTCACGCATAACGCGTGATTCTCGCAGTGTACGGAAAATGGTCTATTGTACATACGTTCTGTATTGCCTCACTGATGCATCGATTCGGTACATTGACCTGCTAGTGGTACTTCGAGAGACAAACACTAGTATAAAATCTGTTGCCTTTCCACGGCATCTCCCTTCGTTCAAATGATAGAATGTCATACGTATACGCAAATGAGCTACGTCATACTAATTCAGTGACATTTTCCAGTGTGTATTTTAAGAAGACCTTGTCGATGCAAGCCAGTCAGGAGAGAGAATTCAGATGGATAGTCATGGAATTTATTGTATGTAGACCAAGCAATGTCATTTGTATAATGCATTGGAAGAGGGTTGCCTTTATGATCTATTGGAAATGGCCAGAATCCATATAAATGTGTTTCCTCACACAGCGAAAAACCAATACTTAGAAGGGTCATTCCAGTTGAAAGTCCTTTCTTAGTTAAGCCCCAAAAACTTTGAATTTTTTGTGAGTGTTCCGCATTGAATAATAACACTTCCAGAGAAGTCCTTTCTTTCAAGAGTTCGGTAATCTGGAAAGCCAAATTACTAACTTTACTGTTAGGAATCCACAAAAGATAACCTTTATATTCTTCCAAGTCCTTTAACAATTTAGTAATATTCAAATTAGTAAAATTTCTCACAAATTTCTCATCTTCATAAACCCTATATCTGGTCATCAAAGACTGGGATATGCTTGTAAAACTGAATTTACTTCCTGCGTCAAATGTAAACCCTCTGATTGGTTGCAAGTTTGACCTCATGATAAAATCAAATCGGTCAATTTCATCACCGCATCCACTATTTCGTAAAATACCACCATTTCCTACAATAGCACACTTTTTAAATGCAGTTTTCGAAGAGAGGACTGATGTCTTTGGCAACAGTTGCAGATTCGATTCGTTGATGTATACAGATTTATTAAACATTGTATCGTAATACTGTGTGCCAATGTGAGTGTTTTCTTGGGTACATATAAAGTCAGTTTTATTCAAATAATTTTTAAGTTTGTTTCTTATCGTCAATATCCCCGGCATATTCAATTTCCAATTCTGTAGTTTTGAGAACGTATCATTCAGGTCTTTTTTAAGCTTAGCCATTTCCAATACGTCTTTTCTTTTTCTCTTCACACGTATAACTCGGACCTTCCTTACTTTGCGAACACGACGACCTGTATTGGGTTTCTTGTCGTGGTCAGTTTTCACAGGACTGGCTTGTTTACTTGTATTTGACGTCTTGTCATTGCCGGAGATCTCCGAAATATTAACGAAACGTTCGCTCTCTTGAATGATGTTGGCAGTCTCGGCGTGTTTACTTGTATTTGTTGTTTTGTTATCGCTGGATGTCTTCAAAGAATTATCGAACCGTTCCCTATCTTGACTGACGTTGTAATCCCTGGGCGGTAAGCTTGAATTCGTCGCAATGTTATCGGGTAAGAGGTGTGATTTATTTCCATTATCGGAGATACACTGCGTATTTAGTACTACAAGGGGAGTGTAACTATTAATTACCAAATCGTTCAGTTTACTACTTGTCATCGCGTTTCTTTGGTAACGGGAAAATATATAGGTTTGCGCATATATACCAAATACCGTACACAAGAAGCAAGTTGTCATGAACAAAAACAACGGTTTTCGAGAGTTGAAACAAATTCGAATTAATTTCCGCATATCGAAGTGGTTTCCAAAATTAATTACACAGTCCAATATCACGTCAGGTGCGTATTTTAGTTCCACTATCCAATTAGCAGGTATGTATAGCCGTTACATTATCAAATGTCACATCAGATGTGGAGTAGATACACTGTCCAGTGCCACGTAAGATGAATAAATCAGTCACGTTAGGTGTGTATAGCAGTTATATTATCAAATGTCACGTCAGATGTGGAGTAGATACACTGTCCAGTGCCACGTAAGATGAATAAATCAGACACGTTAGGTGTGTATAGCCGTTACATTATCCAATGTCACATCAGATGTGGAGTAGATACACTGTCCAGTGCCACGTAAGATGAATAAATCAGTCACGTTAGGTGTGTATAGCCGTTACATTATCAAATGTCACGTCAGATGTGGAGTAGATACACTGTCCAGTGCCACGTAAGATGAATAAATCAGTCACGTTAGGTGTGTATAGCAGTTATATTATCCGATATCATGTCAACTGTGTATAACAGTTATACCATCCAATGCCACGTCAGGACTGTATCACAGTTACGCCATCCACTGCCACGTAAGGTGTGTATCACAGTTACACCATCCAATGCCACGTAAGGAGTGTATAAGAGTTACACCATCCAATGTCACGTAAGGTGTGTATCACAGTTACGACATCCAATGTCACGTCAGGAGTGTATAAGAGTTACACCATCAAATTGCACGTAAGGAGTATATAACAGTTACACCATCCAATGCCACGTAAGGAGTGTATAAGAGTTACACCATCCAATGTCACGTAAGGTGTGTATCACAGTTACGACATCCAATGTCACGTCAGGAGTGTATAACAGTTACACCATCCAATGTCACGTAATCGGAGTATATAACAGTTACAATACAGTTGTTCCAATATTGCCAATTTTTAATGCTTGTTTAAGTGATTTTCCTGCTTCAATCTTGCAACTGTGAAAACAAATATTATGAGAGACAATTATTATTTTCAATAAACATTAATTTGATCATGGAACATTAGCGCGATTTCGAATGAAATGACGTCATATAATGAGCTGTTGAACTGGAAATAAACCAGAGAGGCATATTCATAAAAGATAGTTGAACCATAATTACCTTGCTCTTGTTGGTATTCTTTGAAAATGTCGCCGATTGTGTCACTAATTCTTCCTCTATGTCATCATTGGCAAACTAAAAATTCTGAAATGAACAAACTTGGGAAGTTAATATGTGACAACTTTTGATACAAGCAATTAGTTTTATAATAATATGAATATATCGTGCTGAGTGTATTTATTGGAGTGAAGGAGTTTTATCGCTGCGACGGTGCCCAGTATTGATAGGATGGTAACCAAATGACCTCGAGTACTTAGATGACGACAAGAGAAGACGAAAACTATCAGTTCATTGATATCATAGTGGTTGTTGTGTCAGACTAATGATAGGTACACTGGGTTAGGGTCCACCGGTGCTTGAGTTTGACAAGAACGTAACTTATGGCAGTCTGGTGTTGTCTTCGCTGTCTAACCTGATTAACTCTGTCACAGAACGCCACGTTGTTGCCCACATGGAGGTATAAACAGATCAAGCATTTGAACAATGTGAGAGCATGTTAATATTCAGAACCAAGCCTAATTATCCCCAGTGAACACTAAACAAACAAACAAACACTGTAAGCTTGTGTATCCACTGGCTTTAGTGAGGATTCACACCCAGATAAAGCAGAAACAGTGACCAAGCTCCCTCCTGTTTGTGATTTGCGGGGTTTTTTACCGTAATACAAATTACTTTAAACTCCAAACAAAGCGTGTATATTATTTTGCAATGTTGTGTGAATGGAATGAAACTACAGCGGCGGAAAGAAAACTAAAACGGTAGTGTCAACGGGAAATTAGATGGGTGCACGCTCTCTGTGTAAACGGAAACGATGGCTTTGTATATTTGGCTGATATCGACAAGCAACAGATTTTCTGTACTCGCTTAATCGGTCAAGTAGTCGAAAATCTTTCGCGTGGATGTGGATAGTTCATCCTCATCGTCATTTTCGAACCACTCGCGCAGTTGGTCTGTAAAATTACTACGCGTCACTGAGTGACAGATTTTTCTTTGCATCGTCTGTCAACGCTTTCTTTCTTGTCTTCGCCATTGCGTTAGAAAAAATGGTATTAGCAAAATGGAATATTGACTTCGAAAATAAAACGATTTAAAAGAAAATTGTGCAAAGTTACAGTACTCATTTCACATAACCTCTCGCCCGCTTCCGCTTTCCAATCGCCCTTTTCTCTCGCTTTTGGGACCGCTTGTTGAATTCGACCGGACAATTTCCGCTTTATTTTTGACCGCGCATACCCCGAAATATCACCGCCCGCTCGCTCGCTCGCTCGCATATAAATTCGGACTAACAGAAACAATTTCCGAAGTTCACATTATGTTGAACAGCCGACAAAAGTTCAAATACTTTTTGTTTTAACTATCCATAATTATATGCACGCAATCTGACCCTTTGACCTCGATTTGGCTTGGACTGAACAAAATGTATTTCAACACAAGTTTTTGTATAATTATTGTTGTTTTCCCGTGGCAAAGACACGCCGAAGGACCATGAAGTTAAATAGCAGTTCCATAATGATGCATGGGCTGAGTGAAAGAAAATATTTCTAAGCCTAAAATAAAACCTAATATTACACCTCTTTGTGTATTTGTTTAAATTTACCTATGTTTGTCATGACAGTACATGTGTTTGTAAATATCTAGAAAAATCTCGTCTTTTGTTGATAATTTTGATTGTTTGGAATGTCTGTTGACCGTGTCCCAATAATTTGTTTGTAATATTGATCCCCGTTTAGTTTAGGACGGGCGTCGGTCCCGTAATTTGTGGGCTGAAACCCCAAATAATTAAACAAGTACATGTATTATTATTATATATATTATTATAATATACATTTTACAGAGCTAGAGTTGTTCTCGGTGAAACAGCCGTTGAAGTCGATGCAACTTCAATTAGCCATTTCTTACCTTGAAATAAAAATAAAATTCGAAGAGCATCGGGGAAAATATTAATAATCATTCTTAGCAATCGCTAGCTTTATTTTGTTCGAATCCATGAAATTGACGAGGTTTTCGACATTTGTTGGCAACTTCTGCGCTAAGCACTAAAAATGATTGAAAATGTGGGTGTGGTCGGTATATTTTTTACAAATGGATGGGATTTGACCTCATTTCAAAAAGAAAAAAAAAACTAGGCTGAGATACATTAGAGTCCACGGCGAATCAGTTTTCTTTGCAAATTGTGAAATAAAATAAACCAGAGTAGGGTCGATGATTTTCAGCCCTGAATGACTTCCGTGTGAATCCTGATTTTCGAATTGTTCATCGACTGGCCACCAAATATTTATGACTATAACTAAATTTGACAAGTTTTTTTTAAGCCCAGTAAATTATTCATACATGTCAAGCTCTGTTTTTTTCAGAGCATGTGGCCGTTCTTAGTCGAAAATATTTTTGTGGGAATACTTTTACGGTATGTATACTATATAGACCGAGCTCATTCACTGATCGTGACTTAATTTTGAAAATTGAATTTTACCAAACTGACCGCCTGTGGACCGACGTAGTTTTGGTATCGTTATTTTTGGAATTAATCATTAACATTTCCTCGTTTCTCTGCTCTGTCAAAAGGAGTTACCTATGCTTTTTTTCACGTAACTCTCTCATTAAAATAAAATAAAATATTACATCTAGAACAAGCACCCAAAACACGTAACAAGAGGTCCCAGTTCAGTTGCTTTCACGATACAAGTGTCATACAACTATTATATTTGAAGTGTCGTTCAGAATTTAATAATAGTTAATACTAGTTGTATGTTCGCACTTCACTATCAAAACCACCATTTCGACCACTCATGTGCCAGTGATCAGTGTTTGGGTGGTCGATGTTTTCAATGAGCGAGGGAGCGAGCGAAAAAGACGCGATTAGTTTGCGGTCGGTTACCGGTCGGACGAGACCGTGTGGTCGGAAATTAAGCGATAAGCGGTCGATAAAAAAGCAGAAGGTTGGCCGAAATAAGTATCACCCGTTATATCAGAATCGTCAACAACAGAATATACAGATAAGATGTTATCATTTAAACCGTTCCAAAGATAAACATTATGCAAATATTAACGGAACGGCAGTTGTAGTTTTTTCTGCTAGCGTTTTAAAACACTAATTTGAGCAACGTTATTTCACAATTTCGATCTTTTGAAAACCTGGGATGATGTATCAAGGTCTAAAGTAACCGTTTTATAAATTTCCTTTCTCACTACCTTAATTATTTGCTGGGGACGGCCGCTTAGGTACGTGCTCTGTAACTTGCAGCGCATGAACCTAAAAAGGTTAGGTAATCAAATTCACAGGAAGTTGACTATCCCTAGTTGTCCCTAAGTCGCCAGTTGTGAACTTTATCAGGATTCCTGTATTAAGTTACACATCATTCTAGCAAGGAAAATATTGATTACTTTTGTGCAGGTTATATTATAATAATAAAATATGGAATAATCAATATTTCATTATCTAATTGGGGTGGGTATTGCCAAGCAAGTTTATAAAATTATAAACAAATATTTTCGTAAATAACACTGACTGCAAAATACGCCTTTGAGAAGTATTACTGATGGAATATTTATATACATTTATATATATATACATTTCTTTATTTCACTGTTGAGACCGAGCTGTACAGTTTGTTACGTACTACAATTTATCTACATTGGAAAACGATTATGGGGATTATTAATTTCAATAAAGAATATTCAACTATCCTTTGCAACATCAAAAAGATCATAATGGTAATGTTTATTGGTCTCTGAAACTAGATGCATTATCAGAG